GTCCGACTAGGACAGTTAACCCCTTTGTTAAGGGAAGACAAGAGCCTCGCCATAGGGACTTTAGGCCTTGATTGTCTCAAACAATTTCTAAACTCCTGTGAGTTCACCATTAACGGGGGACAAGCCAGAACATGATGAGAGAATCATAACTCTACTTTAGCTCCAAGGGGGCATTCATAGATACACGATGGAGAAAAATTAGATTTAATAAACTTTTTTTCTTTTCAAATAAATTAAAAAGCAAACGAATATATATATATATATATATATATATAAGTGTTGTAGACATGCTCCCAACGCATGAGCACACATGGCGCTCTCCAGCATTGTCGATGGCAGACGACCGCTTAGCTGACTAATCTGACCTCTTACATTTGTCTAAGCCATTTTTTTGACTTGGACAACCCATTTTGGATATTTTAAAGGTATTTGTAACCATTTTTCGACATTTCAAATCCAATTTTGGCACTTATAAAGCTCAACAGAGGCCCTACAACCAGCAACGAGTAATTTTAAAGAGTTCCGAGTGAAATTTCTAAACATTTTTTTGTACTTTAATTGATATGCCAACTTCATAGAAAGCCAAAATTATAATTGAAGAGATTTTACACTAAGTTAATAACTTTGAGGGAAATCCATATTGATGTCTAAGGAGAGGCTGCACCTCATAACTTTTTTACTAAATTGTAATTTTACACTGCGAATTTTTGTAGGACTAAAACATATATTTTTGAACATAAGTTTTGACATTCACAAAAAGAGAGGCAACTGGTACTTCATAAAAAATCCAGCTTAATTGATCATGAATCTCGATGCATATTTGAATTGGAAGCTTCCAGAATTAAATTCAGGACCATTTAAACTCCGAATTTAACAAACTTATAGCATAACCAAACATCTCGACGAGACAAATCCATGAATATGAAAAGTGATATGATCTGAGTCCAAATGAGCCTAGATCAAGTACTTAAAATATAATTAAAAACTTCAAGCCATCAATTGGACGATCAAACCATCTCAAATTCTCACATACATATAGTCAAATCAAGCATCTCGACAAGAAAAATCCAACAAACCCAAAATCGCCTAATTCCAACTTCAGCACAACAATTAAATGTTGAAATATTAGTCAATGATTGAGGAATTCAATGTAAGCTGTCCAATAGAGTGTTCTTGATTTTGGATATATTTATAGGACATGCAACCCAAACAAATTATAAATAGGCCCTCACTCTCAAAATGAAACAAGGCTAGAATCTTAGTTTGAGATTCACGAGAGCTCAGTAGCTTGAAAAATCCCAAAGCTCTATTTTGAGACCATTGCTTGATTGTTGTCATCACACCACTAACCGACCACAACCGTCAAACCACTGCTTGATTACCATATAAGACCATTACCCAATCTCCACCGCCATACCAAAACCATCGTTGCCGAAAAACCTCCCGATCAACACCATCAAATGTCGTCATTCGACCACTATCGTCAAATCACCGCTCGACTACCATTGCTCGACCAGATGATCCTTAGACTACCATCACTCGAATATGTTCCTTTAACCACTTTAGTCACCTGACAACGTTCCTACGACCACCATCATCAGACTATGGCCCTTTGAGCACAATCCCTTAACTATAGTCTCATAATCACCATCATCGGACTATAATCTACCCTCTGATGTCCGACTATAGTCCTCCAACCACTATCGCCTAACAACAATCCTCCGACAACCTTCGTCCGACTACGATCTTATCATTCCCCTAAACCAAATTGAAAAATCAAACATTGAACCTAATTTTCTCAACCACAATTCAAAACATATCAGAGCTGACTAAATAATCCAAAATAATTAAAATAATACAAATGAACATCCACAATACATCTCCAAAAGAACTATACATAAATAATTCAATCCAAATTCGTTTCTATACATCAAAATATAATAACTGGATTACAAAATACTTAATAAAAAACTCCTAACAGTCCTGCCCTTATCAATATCTACTCCTTCAGATACTTTTCTTTTTTTTGAAATTTCATAAAATTATATGGTGAGCGATCACATGTTCAATAGGCTACCCAATTCCTATTGCAGCTATCTATACACACATTTATAATGTATAATTAAAAGATTTAAATATCAATTATAAAATTTATAAAAACTAACTTTATTTTCAAGAAACCTAAACAAAAGATTACTTATATCAATATAACCAGAAGAACATATAAGTGTAAATTAAACTTGAAGATGCATCAAACTTAACCTTCCAAAAAATTTTTACTTTGAAATTGAACATTATATACATTAGCATTTCAATTGAATTTTCACATGAGTGTCAAAGTGTAGTTGTTAATAACATGGCACTTATATTTTCACAAAAGTATTAGATGGTATTTATAAATAAATATTTGAGTGTATTTATCAACAGAATATTCTTTATATTTGAACCTATTTTATTTAACAAAATATGCAATATATGAATCATGATATTAATGTCCCGATGTTTGTTTATAACTCCACTTCTACTTATATCTCCCAAGATTAACCCTCACAAGGTGAAGGAGATCAACTTGATTCCTCTTGTAAATTCACTTCTACTTATAACTCCCTTGAACCTCCCACAACTGCATTAAAAAATGGGGTTAAAAATAATCTCATACATCCACATAAAGCAGATGGGGTCAAAATCAAAAGCATAACATAATAGAAAGCAAATGGGGGCAGAATCAAAAGCATAACAGAATAGAAATTCGGGCCCATATAACAGAACTTGTAATATACAACATTAGAACTTTCTCCATATAAACATGAATGCACATGCATAGATAAACAAAATTAACAAATACACATGATATTGAACATGAGCGTGAACACATACGTGCAATACTTTAGGAGATGATGCATATATAATTTGCCTACACATTTCAAAATTGAGATTTGAAAAATCATTTATAATGAATCTTCAAAATATTATTTTGAAGATTTTAATGAATGTTAGCCGATGCTAGAATTGTCATTTCCAATAGAAAATACTCTAAATTTTGTATAGACAAAAACAACCTATGAAATATCAATATTATAATTAAAATGACGAGGATAAGACATTAAACAATATACCATAAATTACATGGTGGAAAGTTTATTATACTCATTAAAACACATTGTACTCCATCTTTCATAGAAATAACATAATTGAAATAAAAAATTGGGCATTGGAGCCTATCTCGAGTAGAATGAATCCAATAACTGGCCCGACAGGCAAATCTCACACTGCGGCCTCCAAACTCTTCTCATTCCTTTATGATATGTCGGTCAGGCTGAAACAGTCTGCCTCCTCTATGTTTTTCTGCCCAATGGGTGGGTCCCACTCATGCAATTGAATTCAAAGTGAAAAGGAGGGGGGCTGCTAGAGCTTTGGGAGGGAAATTAGATTAGGAAAGCTTTGTATTAAAGTGCATGAGAGGATTAGGGGAAATTATATTTTGATTGATTAGAATTAGGGTTTCTTGGCGACTTGGGCTCTAGACTCTCTTGTCTAGAGATTTGGGAGAGACTATTCTCCTCTCGAATTGAGGATCTCTTGTATCTTTGCTTTGTTCTTGTTTTCCTTCATTTTCTATAAGAATTTGCTATCGTTTGATTGTTCTTCCATGACGATTTCTACATTTTCTCACTGTTTTCACTGATTATTGTTAGGTTTGCTTGCAAACTCAAGTAGAACCGATAGGATTACTTGCGAACTCAAGTATTTCCTATCACTTTCCCTCTCCTCTTCTCCTCTCCTTCTCTTCCTACTCTGGCAAGGCTGCTAGTATGGGGTGAAGATAATAGATCTAGGTTTTTTGGTATATAAAAAATTCATTTTAGTGGCTAACACTATGGCGCTCAAATAGAATATTATTTATTCCCCTAGACTTTTCGACAAAGAGGGCTCAGTGCCATAGATCTCCACTCCACGTAGCAATGCTTCCTCAAACTCTGCTCCAAAACAAAGAGGACGACGCCGCAATGCCCAACTCAATCTCCCGGACAGAGAGGGAAGTGCCATTGTGCTCCAATGCATAATGCTTTAGCAGTCCAAGAGGGATTTTTCTAATTGCATTTCAGACTTTTCTACTCCTTTCTAGATTTAGTAGTTTCAAATTTAAGATGTACCTAGGTATAGGGAAGAGTCTTACCAGTTTCTGTAGTTTAAATTATTATAGATCCTCCAACTACCGTTGTCCAATGATGGTTTTCATACCACGGTCTTTCAATCACCATCGTCGAAATATGATATTCCGACCACCGCCACCCGAATGCAATACCTCAAACAAACATTGCCTGACCATGGTCCTCTGATTCGCATAGCCCAACTAGAATCTTTTGACCACCATCGGAAAATTACGATTCTTCGACCATCGTTGTCCGGCTATGATCTCTCAAACTCAATTTCTCAATAAAAATCATTTTGACTGAGTTATGCCTCATGCTTTTCCCTTTTATGAGCTTTCCCTACACAAACTTTGGTGACCCTTGTCATTCTATCTTATCTATGAGTGTGTTTGATCTTAGTGTAATGCTAGGACATTAGACTCTCAATTTACCGCTGTGAATGTTTTGGCATGCAACACTAATGCCTATATATAAAGACCAAAAAAATGGAAGGAAAAAAAAAATGCTCAAGTAAACCCAAATTGAAATCAAAATAGAATAACTTTAATTTTGACTTGATTCAAATTCATATCAACTTCAAGTTGAGCTAGTCAAATGAACTCAACTCAATAAAATTGATTTATATGTACATCCAATCAAATGATAGCTCCAACAAAATTAAGTTGCATATGTCATTATGATGGAAAAAGTTTCAATGAAATCCCAACTGTTTTAACGAGCTAGGGAGCACAATTCTTGCAAATTCTTGAATAACAAATTGACAAACCACAACACTTAGTCCAAGCATTAAGTTCAATATTGATGATAAACATATTGGACAGATGAACACAATGGGTGCATAAAACATGTTTTTATCTGCTAGCTTTGGTCTTAAACTAACAGACAATGCACAAAATTTATTTGATGTGCCTGAATGCAGCAGAACAGCGGGTATTTAGAATGCGGCAAATGCAGCAACAGAAACCAAAATACATTCCCAATTCAAAACACTGCCGTTCTAAAGCTTAGGGGAAGTAAATCCTTGCTATTAACTATTTTTATCAAATCTTGCCTATACAAGGCTTTGCTTGTCATACTTTACAATAAGGTTGGGATAATAAAAACCAAAAAAGAATTGATGCCGTACCTCACAGAACAGAGCTAAACCTCCAAAGAAAAAGAATGCTTCAGCTCATCGATAACTTTCCTCCTGAAAGAAGAAAATATTGCAGCGTCTCTCCCAAAACACCAAAGAATACATTCAACTATCAGACAAAAAGCCTATAATCAGGCCTTTCATTATGCTTTCAGAAGCAAATCTATTGTCAAAAAACAATCAGCATAGGTAATGGAGCAAAGCTTTCTTTCAGATCAAATGTCTTCGGAAAGAAGAATACAAGAGGCAGACAGATGAAATATAGAACCTATCTGTGGCACAAACTATGGCTCTGGTTTGCGCATGACTGAGCTCCATTGCTTGGAGAGGGATTGTCAGCCCTTACTCTCCTATAGAAGAGCACATAGGCTGCTGCTGACTTCACTTCCTCTTCATTTATAGGAGACACATGGCTATCATCAAAATTATACCATCTGTTTTCCTCAAAAAGCTGCAGCAGAAAAAACTTTTTAATCAGTTGTGTTAATTACATTACCTCTCAGAAAAGTACAAATTTTTATAATATCCTCTAAGTGTATGATTTGAAGCTCACAAATTTATGTTTACTCTGTACCGGTGTCATGCACTCTTCGTAAAATATAGTAGATAAAGAAGCAAAATGGCTGTATGTTAATGCATACAAGTAGCCCAGTTACAGAAAATTTGGTGACTAAGGATGGCATATTGATAGTTTTGATATCGTACATGGAGTCCAGTGCATGTTTTACAAAAAAGAACCACATGTACACAAGTTAGAGACATTCATGCATACAACTTGAATGTTAAGTGCACTCAATCTATCTCATAAATAGTCATATTTCATTCATTTATCAATCAATCAATCTTTTAAATTACTAAACATCAATCCCTATTTATAGAAAAAGAGTTTCCAACATTGGTCAAATCATAAATCCAAATCTATTATAAAATCCTATCTTGAAATCAAATTCAAATCTTACTTATCCAACAGAAGATAATTAAACCTAATAAAATAAATCAGATTAAGATGAAAAAATTCAGCCATATTTAATATGGTTCTAAGAAGAATAAAAAAATGGTCTGATTCGACTCCTTTGTTCACCCGATTTGAGTCCTATGTGATGAGGACATCGATCAGAGGTTCAAGCATGTGTATCGCCGGAGACAGCACAGATCGACGGCTACGATCCAGAGTCTTTACTTTTGATGTATTTTATGTTTTATTTAGTTTACATTTCTGTTTCCTAGTTTACCCCTATGGGGAGTGTTTTCTTATTGTAGCCCAGGGGGCATTTGAGCACTTTTTTTTTCTTTGTGTTTGAGACCTATATATAGCGGTCTTATGCTTTGTAAAAGGGTAATGAACATTTGAATGAAAATTTTATCATGTTTCTTCTTCTTGCATGAGAGCTAGAGAAGGGAGAGAGCTCACATGGAGCAATTGCAAGGCCCACCAGTTGTTGGAAGAGTCCGCGGCTCGTGGTTAAGTTTGTTTCTATCTTATTTGTGTTTTCTCATCCTCACCAAGCCCCAAATCCCCATCCCGTCTTCTCCTCAATCCGAGCCTCGACTTCACCTGCCGGCCACCTAAGGATCCAACCCGCCGGCTCTTCCTTAGCCGCCGGCCACTCCTCCTCCACCACCCCTTCCCCATTCTTCAACCGCCGGCCCCTTCCCCTTTCCCTCACATGTTTCAAATTTTGAAATTCAAATTAATTGAATTTCAAAATTTTCAAATTTGGCCAAAGTAAAATTAGGAAAGTTTTCAAATTTAAATCAATTTGAAATTCAAATTGAAGTGGATTTCTTTCTAAAGTTTCCTAAGGCTTATGTGTTGATTTGGAAGGTTCATAAGTTGCTCCCACACCTCCTCCCTCCCTCTTGAACCCGCCGGCCATGCATGGGTTTTATCCCATTAAATCCCCACTTAAAGCATTAATGGCCACTTAATTTGAAATCAAATTTTAAATTAAGTTCCCCCCAATTTCATTCAAATCCTGAAATTAATTTTAGGTTTTGAAATAATCTCCTCCCCCTCTCTCTAGAACCCGCCGGCCCCCTCCTTGGCTCCCCTCATTAATTCCCCCATTCAATGCCTTAATTCCCTTGATTTGAAATTTAAAATTCAAATCAAATTTCCCTCCAAACTTAATCAAATCTGAAATTAAATTCAGATTTTGATTAAATATCTAAAGCACTCCACCCAAACCTAATTTATCCAAACCCTAGCCTTTTCCCCCTTGCACCCGCCGACCTCACCCCCTCTCCTTTGAGATCCCGCCGCCCCCTCCTCTCCCTCTTCCTTCTTCGCACACCACAAGTGCTCTCCCCCTCCACCTCTTTACCCCTCTTCTCATTGGAGTTCTTTCCAATGTCAAGCATGCATGGCGGATCTCGAATTTGAATGGGGACTTGTGTTCGACGCCGATGGAAATCTCAACATCCTACGATCTCCGTTCTTCAACGTGGGATTTGAATACGACGCCACCGTTGGAGATTATTTGGATCGAGTTGTCCCTACTCTTGCGAGCGTCATCGATCGTCAACTTCCAAACTACGATTGGAGCATCAACAGTCAACCACTCCCGCCATCCTCGCCACCGTCAACCTTTCCGTGGTTCAAGGCCGTTGGGGTTGCTACCGTCCTCGTGGCATCGTTGGGTATGCTAAAGACCTTCCGCTAAGTCCTACTCCGAGTGTGAGTGAGCAAGGTAACTCATAGTGAATCTTCTAAATATTAACCGTGGGATTCTATATTGTTCCGCATTTGTCTTATTGTGATAATTTCAAGATCTATCGTCAATTGTGTCCAAACATCAAGTTTGTAATTGCTTAATAACATTGACAATTGAAAACTCTTGAACCTCATCTCACGATACCTTAATCTTAAATTAGTACACTTTGTGATTCTTTCTAAATTTTACGTGCAATTCTTGATCGTATCACATCACTATGTATGGTCTTTTCCAAGCTAACCTAGCCAATTTGTATTGCATTAATTCAACCGACCAATAAAGAAATCTTGTCCTAAAGAGTTGAATCATACTGAATAACATTATCAGGCTCATGCACTTCTTCAAATATACGCTCTGACTTAATCTGTGCTAATATTTCAACCTCAAGCGTTTTATTACACTCAGATACTGATAATTCATAATTATCGACAAGGTTTAATTTATCATCAAAAAAGATATGCACCATCATAAACATATTCAGGACCATTCATCATAAAGAAATTATCATTAATTTTGAGCACTCGAAATTGCACTAAAAATTTTCTAAGATTTGTTGGATCAAGGAATTCGTGGGGCCTGTATAGTGGATTGAATATAATTTAGCAAAGTGGATATTTGAGTTGGAGTGTGGCATGACATGACCAATTAAATGCTTCATTAATACAGATCCAAGGCCTGTAAAAAAAAGCATCACCATAAGCACGTGGATAATAGGAACCATTGTCATCATCATATATAGGAGTAATAAGATGCGAAGGGATATAATTGACACCCACAAATAAAAACTTTTAGATACAAAAAAAATGAGAATGAAAAAACCTATGATGCACCGACACGAACACGTCGACACGAACACGTCGACACGGACACGACACGACACGGACACGGGACACGGCATAATAATTTTTTAATATAATATATAGAAATTAAGACGACATTATATTAAAAATGACAAGGAATAATAAATCAATTTCATGATAACTTGTTTAGCTTATAGCATAAAAATGTTTAGTACAAAATATCAGTACAACAAAAAAAATATAAGCAAAAAATCATTTAGTACAACATGAAGGTACAACTACTCAATAGAGGGAATGATAGAATTAGGTTCAGATGTTGATTTTTGACCTTCAATATCATCATCATTGAATATCATTGCTTCCAACTCTGGTTCATCTAGAGAAAGATTTGCAACATCCAATAATCAAAATATCTCAATAATAAGACAACATGAATACAACAATATATCGGTCTTTTGGGGTCCAATGGGGCTCTCTCCTAGTGGGGTTCGACTTGCCAGGGTAAAAGTAATTTTGAAGTTTTGCTTGTTTTTAAAGTTCGTAAGTTATTTGTATGGAAAGATATCGAGCGGTACCTTTTTTAATCGGACACATTTTCGGTGTGTCCGACACGTGTCGGAGGAGTGTCGAACGAGTGTCGTGTCGAACACGGTGTCGGACACTGCACGCCTCTTTGAGGAGAAATGTCGGTGCATCATAGGAAAAAACTGACCTCTACAATATGCTGTTATCCCTTGTTTACGATGACAATGTACCATTAAAATCTAAGCAACAAAGAGAACTAATATAATTTATGTAGTTCAATAGAAGATCACAAATGATATTGACCGTGGCAAGAAGATCCAATGTCTAAATGGACAACAATGCCAACTTGATAGGGAGTCACTGCAAGACGGCAATAAAATGTGTTGGAGCATAGCAATTGTCGACAGTCGCCGAGAGTTGCAATGCCCTTGTGATGAGGAAGAATAGATAGTGTCCTAGAAGCTGTGTCAAGAATACGTGTGGAATGCTGGGGAGAGAGGCATGTCATGGGTTAGACACATAAGGTTGACTGATCCAAGTGGGTTACATTGTAGCATGATTTGTCAAGTATTGTAGTCGAGGGTAAGCAAATCACATAAAAGCCATGAGATAGTGCGATTTAACATGTGCAAAGAGTGCCCTGAAGGGAAAGTAAAACTTGTTAAGGAAACACAAGTGGGGTTGATGCATACTATGTTTCGGCACAACAAGATGCATAGCCGAGCACGTGAAGTCAAAGTCAGTTTGGTGAGGCTAAGGAGAACAGGTTGTGGTGTCACATGCAGTACAGAGAATGCTTACAAGTATTATCGTTAAAAGCGGCTATGCAAAGAAGACCAACTTAGTGAAGTGGGGCTTCATTCATGATTGTAAAGGAGGATAAGGGTTTTGGATTAACCATATGGCTGCAATTTCATATGGAATATGGTTCATCAAAGAGAAACAATTTGATCTTACATTGATGCAAAAACTGATAGAGGGAAAGAGAGAGAATTCCACTCACACAAATAGGAACTAAGATCTTAAGTGCACTTAATTAGCCTCACAATTAATTAGATTTCATTCATTTATCAATCAATCAATTTTACAAATTACAAACCATCAATCCCTATTTATAGAAATGGGGTTACAAAGATAAGAGAAATTTTAAATCCAAATATACCCTAATCATATCATAAAATCAAAATTCAAACTTAATTTATCAAAAGAAGACGGTTAAAATTAATTAAATAAAAAAATGGAAAATTCAATTATAATTTAATACAATTCTAAAAAGAAATGAAAATGGTTAGTTCAACTCCTTTGTAGCCGGATTCAGCTTCTTTTGATTGAACTATAAAAAAATTGGTCTATTCAAAGCTAAATTAGCTAATTTTAATGCATTATATTTTGCTTGAAAAATAGGCTTTCAT